ACAATGTTGTGTTGGTTTCTGCCATACAACAACACAAATCAGTCATAATTATATATATATATATATGTGTGTGTATGTGTGTGTATACACATATCCCCTCCCTCTGGAACCTCCATTCTATTTCTTAAGTATATTTTANTGGACATGAGTTTGAGCACGCTCTGGGAGTTGGTGATGGACAGAGAAGCCTGGCGTGTTGCAGTCTCTGGGGTCACAAAGAGTCAGACATGACTCAGTGACTAAACCACAACAACAGCTGTTTCCCAGGTGACTTGCATATTAAAAGAATAGAAAATAAGACATCCGGAGGCAGAACTCAGTCAAAATCATAAAAGAAGGAATTGGATACAGTTTCAGCAATTCTTTTAAGTTCTTGGTTGAATTTTTTGTGCTCCAGAGATAATATGAAGGGTCTGTATGTGAATGCTATGAAAGGGGACATATTTAGTGTGGTCAACCAGGACATCAAGAGATTGACAGCTTTCTGGAGTTAACTGGAGACATAAAATCTGTACATTTCTCTTGCCTAAAGAATACAGAAAAAGTTTCTATATGCTAAGTAGACAGTTATCCTTAACACTGTCACTTTGGGTTAAAATATACACACAACATGTGTCAAGTATATTGAGAAGAGTAAGGATATCCTCTAGTCTCTAATTGTGAAGTACTTCTTGTCACTGTGATAAGACCTCAAATTATCCAAAATACTTAAAGAGTATAGTCTTGTGGTGAAAGAAGGAACCAGAAAGGTATATATATTTCTATGTGTTTATGACACATTCCAGTTCAGAATTTATCGCTAGTCACCATCCACAATAACTAGTGGTAAACAACCCACCTGCCAATGCAGGAGACACAGGAGACTTTGTTTCAATCCCTAGGTTGGGAAGATCTCCTGGAGGAGGAAATGGCAACCCACTCCATATTCTTGCCTGGAGAATCCCATGGACAGAGGAGCCTGGGGGGCTACAGTCCATAGAGTCACAAAGAATTGGACATGACTGAAGCAATTTAGCACACACACTCAATAACTAGCATTTATTCTGTATGTGCTCTTAAGGTCATCTTCTGCTATACACTAAGGCTTCTAGGTGGTGCTGGTAGTAAAGAACTTGCCTGCCAATACAGGAGAGGATAAGAGATGTGGGTTTGATTCCTGGGTAGGGAAGATCCCCTGGAGGAGGCCATGGCAACCCACTCCAGTATTCTTGCCTGGAGAATCCCATGGACAGAGGAGCTGGGTGAGCTATAATCCATAGGGTCACTAAGAGTAGGACATGACTGAAGCAACTTGGCAGGCACAAATGCACGCTGCTATACTCTACCAACTCCAAAGTATAAACATCAAAGAAATGTCAGCTTCATAGTATGTATTTAGACATAGAACTCATATCTCCAGGTCACTTGGGTCTCCTACCCCTCCTGCTCTCTCCTTGAGATTAAATTAGGGGATTCAAAGGAGAAGGAACCTGTTGAGCCCAGGGCAGCTGTTTGTCCAGCCTCTGGTGAGTTCTCCACTCAGGAAACTCAGACCTTGCTCTGTAACACTCCTGGTCACTTAGATTCCCTATGCCTTAGGGACAATCGCTCAAAGGTAGACCAGAAAGCTGTCTAAACTCTGCTACTATAGTTTCCCAACATAATAAGTATAATACCCACTCCAGTATTCTTTCCTGGAGAATTTCATGGACTATATAGCCTATAGGGTAGCAAAGAGTCGGACATGACTGAGCAACTTTCACTTTAATTTATTGAACAGACCTAAATCTTTGATGAACTTAAGAGTGTTTCAAAGTCATGATTTTTGACACCAGTGACAGTCTTGAAGACAGGGAGCTGGGGGAGACCAGACAGATACTGTGTTGACCAAAGACAAGACATGGCATTTGCTTTTTGACTAAACCTCTGACACATGTCAGCTTTATCTTGAGTTGATTCTTGCTTTTCAATGTGACATGTGACCCAAAGAAACACTGGAAGGCCAATCTACACTCCAGTATTCTTGCCTGGGAAATTCCATGGACAGAAGAGCCTGGTGGGCTACAGTCCTTGAGGTCGCAAAGAGTTGGATACTGAACACACATACACACATCACATTCCACAGGTGAAAACTGAAATTACTTAACTGAAGATATAGGTCCAGTGAGTGAAAGGTCTAGAACTCATGTCCTTGATTCTCGACTGCAAATCATTGAAGGCAACTTTTTTAGCACTTAGTTGCTATCCTGAATGATAAATATACTAATGAATGTGTAAGTTCATGGAGCATACTGAAATCTCTAGTAAAAAAGGGTAAATACATTAAGAAAACTGCTGTACTTAATATCGACAGTAGCAAGACACCAAAATGTCACTTGAGTATAACTCAACATTTCATTACTGCCTCCCAGTGATATCATAAACCTTGAGCAAAAATTGGTATATTTGAAATTATATTAACTTTTCCAGGTCATCAGGGTACCACTTAGTGGATTTTAACAGTAATATTTCCACTGCTAGTCTAGGGTCACCAACCAAAAAAAAAAAAAAAAGTTAATGGTTCTACAAATGTTTCCTAGTCAAAAAAGAAATCTCTTTTATAAAGATACCATAAATTCTCCTGTCATTCTTTAAATTAAATGAATTCAAAAGGGATCTTCAAAGATGCTGTGTTTAAGTAATACCAAAGCATGTTTAAAATCATTTGAGTAAGATTTTGAAATGAATCTCAAAACTGTTCATACAAAAGAAATGAAAAAATGTTTTTAATTAAAGGTATCTCCACCATCCTCAAGAATTTCCTTGTATGAGAGTCTAATTTGCAAATCAGATGGATAATATCTTCTTCACAGTGAGCTATGGTTAATTAAATGCTATAACTGAACTACTAAGAAAAAACAGACCCCTCCAAGGGGCAGTCAACTAGGTCATTACTCAGAGGCAAAGCAACCTAATTATTACCACAAAGTTCAAATTAGAGGAATTGATTTGAACATTTAGTGGACTCGCTGTGGGGTCAAACCCCTTGAGATTAGTGCATTCATACCTGACAGTCTTCTTAGTGTATTAAAACGGACTTTGATGAAAAATACACAGAATCAGAAAACATACAGAGAGGGAAAGGCAACATGTAGAGATGCTCCCACTGGGTTCAGAGAGTCCCCGATAAACTAGAAAGTTTGGAAGCGTCAAGCCCAAGTGGGGACAGTCCTTAGCAGGTGACCAACAACCCTCTGCTTCTAACAACCCTCTGCCTTGGGACATGTGGGAGGCTAATCTCTTCTAGGAAGAAGTACTTTCTCATAGTCAGCTACAAAGAATTAATCCTCTCTCCCTTGAAAAAAGACTACTTTAGTCCTTGGGGGTCAGAGAGTCAAGCAGAGAAGGCAGTCGGATTGTCAAGATGATGCCCACAGTGGTACAATCGACAGAAGAGCAGGGAGGTTTGCAGAGATGTGGACAGACCTAGAGGCTGTCCTACAGAATGAAGTAAGTCAGAGAAAAAGTACCACCATATATTAACTCATACATTCGGAATCAAGAAAAACGGTACTCATGAACCTATTTTCAGGGTAGGAATAGAGACACAGATGTAGAGAACAAACCTATGGACACGAAGCAGGCGACGGAGGTTGGGGTGGGATGAACTAGGAGATTGGGATTGATCAGTATACACTATTGATCCTTTGTATACAATAGGAAACTACTGAGAACTTCCTGTATAGCACAAGGAACTCTACCCAGTGCTCTGTGAAGACCTAAATGGGAAGGAAATTCAAAAAAGGGGATATATGTATACTTGCGGCTGATTCATTCTGCTCCACGGCAGAAATTAACACAGCATTGTAAAGCACCATGCCTGCGTGCTCAGTCGCTCAGTCATGTCTGACTCTCTGCAACCCCACAGAGTGTAGCCCACCAGGCTCCTCTGTCCATGGGATTCTCCAGGCAAGAATACCGCAGTGGGTTACCATTTCCTTCTCCAGGGGATCTTTCTTACCCAGGAACTGAACCCAAATTTCCTGCATTGGTAGGCAGATTCTTTACCACTGAGCCAATACTCCAAAAAAAAAAAAAAAGCAAAATCATAAATCCTTCCATGAACCGCTACTGTTAGAAATCACAGAAGGAGACTTAATAATAATATTGCCTTTGATTGCAAACAAGCAGACAGTTTGAAAGCGAAACCTACAGAACATACAGCATGCTAAGATTCTATTTCAATGAATATTAGACTCTACTTGTTACAAACTCCAGGAAAGTCCTCCTAAGGTTTTACATGTGGGAGGTTGAGAGCAGATGATGTCAATTATATGAGCACATATCCCACAGAAAGCTACCAAAATACACTTCTTTGGCATACAAAAGAACTGAGAGATAAATGTACTTTATCACAGCCAGTAGGAAATGTTTTATTCCATAAATAAGTTATCTCATTTCGTTTTGTTTACATTTTTTTAATTAGGCAAAGAAAGCTTTCCAATTTTTTTTTTCCAATCTTAGCCAAGTCCAAAATGATTATATAGCATCTCATCTGCTTGTCCCTCTCCATATCTAATTTTCACAGTAAATCAGTCACTTTCCACTTCAAATCCAAATCCAGGAGCTGAAGTTTCTTGCCAGTTTGCTATTACCTGGCAGGGGGGAGGAAATCTGGTTCCTATTATTTGTGCTAAGTCGCTTCAGTTGTGTCCGACTCTTTGTGATCTCATGGACTGTAGCCCACCAGGCTCCTCTGTCCATGGGGATTCTCCAGGCAAGAATACTGGAGTGGGTTAACTGCCGATGCAGGACATGCAGGTTCCATTCCTGGGTCGGGAAGGTTCCCTGGAGGAGGAAATGGCAACCCACTCCAGCATTCTTGCCTGGAGAATCCCATGGACAGAGGAGCCTGGTGGGCTACAGTCCATGGGGTCACAAAGAGCCGGGCACGACTGAGCAACTGAACAACAACAAAAAGTGGAACTTGTATAGAGACCCCTAGGCAAGGAATCTTCCGCGTCTCTCCCCTCAGGACGAAAGGAGAGAGAGGACCTCGGCCGGCTTTCTCCGAGCACGCTCTCCGCACAGATGCCCTGGAGTCGGTCTGCTGTAGCTAATGTTCCGTGTCCTTCTGTGTCTGTCTTCTTTCCCAGAACACTTGAAGGAGAAGCTGGAAGAGTACATGGCTCGGTTTTCCAAAGTGAGGATCGTCCGCACCAGGAAAAGGGAAGGGCTGATCCGGACCCGACTCCTGGGGGCGTCCGTGGCCAGAGGCGAGGTCCTGACGTTCCTCGACTCCCACTGTGAGGTCAACGTCAACTGGCTGCCCCCGCTCCTCAGTGAGTGCCCTCAGCCTCCTGGGCCAGGCGGGGGAGGGGGTTTGCATCTGCTAGTCTGCCGCTGATGGCGGCTAGAGACCCCTTCCATGGGGTTTGCGGTGGGAGCCCTGAACGCTATCTTATTGACCATTGCTGGGAGCTACAGGTAACTAGAAAAGCACAATTGAAACTGCCATTTTAGATAATGCAATCTAACTTTGGTTTGAAAAGGTTTGATTTATCTTAGACATTCCCTGAGTAAACACTAAAAGGGAAAAGTGTTTATTATACTACCCACAAGTACAGTGGGTTTACCAGGTGACACTACTGCTAAAGAACTCACCTGCCAAAGCAGGTGATGGAAGAGATGCAGGTTTGATCCCTGGGTCGGGAAGATCCCCTCGAGGAGGCCATGACAACCCACTCCAGTGTTCTTGCCTGGAAAATCCCATGGACAGAGGAGCCTGGCAGGCTGCAGTCTACAGGCTGCAATGAGTGAATATGACCAAAGCAACTTAGCACACATAAGCACAGTATGGTTAAAATGCGCGCACACACACACACACACACACACACACACACACACATAATGTTTACCAATTATTACAGGATTGTTAAGAGATGAGAGCTGCTCATTTGCCTAAGAGAAAAACAAACCTCATTATTCACTACCATCATGTAAAGCTCCACATCATTAATAAGTCCACAGGTCACCAACTTTGTCTCAGCCCTCCTGCAATTCTTGAGAGCATCTCTGAACTGACCCTTGCTTCGATGCTGCAATGAAAAAAGCATTCAGCCCCCAGAATACAGTCACAATGTAATCACTCTGACATTTTCTCAGGATTTATAAGGAGTACCTTTCCACTCTGGCTCCAGCCTAGCTGCCTAAATATATGACCCCTTACATTCACATAGAACCCCTCAAACACACAGAGCTGCCCCCCAGGTGATACATCTTAAATGATCACGAGAAGACTCTCAGACACTTGAACTGTTAAAAACACCAAAGTCCTGAAATGCATTCAAACTAGAAAACCTATTGAAGCTGAGTCCAAGCATTACTATTAATATTTCTTTAATTTCACAATGAAGACAGAGATAAAGCCCAGTCGTAGCTAAGGAATAAATTGTAAAATGAGAAAAAATATATTTCTAAAAAGTTCTTGGTCTGCACATTGTGTTCTTTTATGTGCCTCCAGATTTCACTAAATCAACTTTTATTGTAAATATATCCCTGGTCTTGGAGCTAAAGCAAGTAACAACCGCCTTCACAATAGCTGCCTCAGAAAGAATCACTTGCTATTGACAATTGTGCAGGATTTCAGGCAGAACTGGGAAAGCTCCATTAGTAAAAGATGCGGGTGGGGTGGAAATCAATTGAAACTGGGTTGGATTTGAAACAGGAAATGATCAGCAAGTAAGGCCCCAGCATATCTCAGATCCACCCCCTCTCTGACAAACAACCACCTGGCCACCCTAATCCACAGGGATGTATCTATGCTCCTAATGGTCAGAGAATCCTCTGAGCCTTTAATTAAAAGTACCTTGTCCAAGGACATAGCAATTTAAAGTTTCATCAGTAGCCATGAGCTTCCCTTAAACTGAATTTGGCCTGTAAGGTGTTGAATAGGCAAGGAAGTCAGCACAAGGCCTAATTATTTATGAACCAAAGCAATCCCTAAAAGCCAATTATCAAGGCTCTGATTGTTCCTATGCATCAACACACACATAATGTTTACCAATTATTACAGGATTGTTAAGAGATGAGAGCTGCTCATTTGCCTAAGAGAAAAACAAACCTCATTATTCACTACCATCATGTAAAGCTCCACATCATTAATAAGTCCACAGGTCACCAACTTTGTCTCAGCCCTCCTGCAATTCTTGAGAGCATCTCTGAACTGACCCTTGCTTCGATGCTGCAATGAAAAAAGCATTCAGCCCCCAGAATACAGTCACAATGTAATCACTCTGACATTTTCTCAGGATTTATAAGGAGTACCTTTCCACTCTGGCTCCAGCCTAGCTGCCTAAATATATGACCCCTTACATTCACATAGAACCCCTCAAACACACAGAGCTGCCCCCCAGGTGAAACATCTTAAATGATCACGCGAAGACTCTCAGACACTTGAACTGTTAAAAACACCAAAGTCCTGAAATGCATTCAAACTAGAAAACCTATTGAAGCTGAGTCCAAGCATTACTATTAATATTTCTTTAATTTCACAATGAAGACAGAGATAAAGCCCAGTCGTAGCTAAGGAATAAATTGTAAAATGAGAAAAAATATATTTCTAAAAAGTTCTTGGTCTGCACATTGTGTTCTTTTATGTGCCTCCAGATTTCACTAAATCAACTTTTATTGTAAATATATCCCTGGTCTTGGAGCTAAAGCAAGTAACAACCGCCTTCACAATAGCTGCCTCAGAAAGAATCACTTGCTATTGACAATTGTGCAGGATTTCAGGCAGAACTGGGAAAGCTCCATTAGTAAAAGATGCGGGTGGGGTGGAAATCAATTGAAACTGGGTTGGATTTGAAACAGGAAATGATCAGCAAGTAAGGCCCCAGCATATCTCAGATCCACCCCCTCTCTGACAAACAACCACCTGGCCACCCTAATCCACAGGGATGTATCTATGCTCCTAATGGTCAGAGAATCCTCTGAGCCTTTAATTAAAAGTACCTTGTCCAAGGACATAGCAATTTAAAGTTTCATCAGTAGCCATGAGCTTCCCTTAAACTGAATTTGGCCTGTAAGGTGTTGAATAGGCAAGGAAGTCAGCACAAGGCCTAATTATTTATGAACCAAAGCAATCCCTAAAAGCCAATTATCAAGGCTCTGATTGTTCCTATGCATCTAAAAAGAGTGGGGGAAAGGGAAAAGACAGAAAATAAAGAGAAACTCATTTTTTCCCTTTAAAGCATTTCATTTCCTATAGGCCTGATGGTTAAGACATGAGCTGAGCTCAGGATTGCTATCTTTTTTTATTTTCCTCTATCACTGTCTTGATACATCTTTCAAAATGAAAAAAAATTTTAAAAAACAGATGGAATCACACGGTTTCTTGGTTCATTTCTCACCCTGGGATTATACCTGAATTTCAATTTCCCATTAAGAGTCTGTTTGTTTGATCCCGGGAAATTGAAATGTAGGCACAATCCTTAGAAAAAAGTAGTCAAACTGCCTTCACCATGAGCTAGAGCGGCCGGATGAGAGCTGAGAGGAAATTTGACAGGAAAGCTGACAGTTAATTTAACAGACTCATTCTCTTTGGGTCACCTTGGGACTCCTTGTTGGTCAAGGAACTTGTAAGTCAACCTGATTCAGAATTGGATTGAAGAACATCACTGAAACCTTAATACTCATATAGCAGCAGAGCTGATAGAAGAAATATTTTGGACACAGCAGTGAAGGTCTCCTCTGTCAAAGACATCTATGGGGGAACACCACTTAGTGAAAGAGAAAACCCGCTGTAAGACTTTCCCGGGTGAAAAAGGGTGCGTAGAGAGCCCTTGGTGGGGACTAATCTGAGGGTGTTGGGGGTGGGAGGCGGGGTCTCTCTGCCTACTAAATAACTAAATAAGATGAAGGTGACCTTAGGGTCACTGAGGCCTCCTGGGACCACACTAGCTAAGACTGCAACCCTTTGTCTAGCAAATAAATAAATAGATAAAGACAAGGACCCAAACATAGTAAGGTAAAAGAATCAAAAATAAAATAAAATCACAACCCTCTCCACATGCCACACTCACCTTACCCTGTTTTATTTTCTTTCCATCACATTGATGACCATCTAGCATACTATATGAGGCTTCTCTAGTGTCTCAAACAGCAAACAAGCTGCCTTCCAGTGCAGGAGATTCGGGTTTGATCCCTGAGATGAGAAGGTCCACTAGAGAAGCAAATGGCTACCCACTCCAGTATTCCTGCCTGGAGAATTCCATGGACAGAGGAGCCTGGTGGGCTATAGTCCATGGGGTCACAAAGAGTCGGACAAGACTGAGCAACGAAGCACAGCACAGAACACTATGTAATTTCGTTACCTACTTTGCATGTGGATTCTCTTTGCTCCATTCATGAACACAGAGGTTTTTGTGGTTGTGGCTCACTGCTGGCTCCCCTAGAACCACGCAACGTGACAGGCATGTAGCTTCTACTCAATGAATAACTACTAAACTATGAATGAATGAATGAACAAATCAATGAGTGAATGAACAAATCAATGAGTGAATGGAAGGCAGGTAGATCTGAAGGGGAGGTTTTCCACAGGATTCTGTGATCCCCACGTCCTCCTCATTATTGTCATCAGGATAATAGTGATAATGTTATCCTGTCATTATAATGTCATAATGATGTGGAAACTGTCAGACCTCATTATTTCTCCACGACATCTTTTCTCTTTTAAAGACATTTAAGTGTGTTTTATTCCACATGCCACATCCAAAGGTCTTCCAAAGAACCAGAAAGCTGGTATTAACACTTAAAAGCTCAACCTCTCTGACAGTATTAGCTTGTTATAATAAATATTGAAGAAATACACATTGTGGAGAAGACAATACTTCACATGTAGCTCTTGTAGGTGAACCAGAGTACACGTGTGTGCCGTTTCCAGTGCTGGCTCTTCACATCTGGCCTAATAACAACTACCAGGGAGGACCTGGGGCTGAAACTGGAGAATAAGTCTCCTTTCTGCCTCAGAGAAGCACCACGGCCAACTGGACGGACCGCAGGCTTTAGGACTGGACCATTAAGTGGGGGTTGCGTCCTAGTGAGTGTTCTCAAAACACAAGCAAACTTGGAAGAGTTACTTAACTTCTTTGCACCCAGTTTCCTCATATGTAAATTGTGAATGGTGATTAGAGCCACTTCACAGGATTGCTAGGAGGGTTAGAAATAGCAGGAGCAGCACTGACACATAGACACTGTCATGTGGTGGCTCAGTGTTAAAGGGTCTGCCTGTGATGTGGGAGACACTGGTTCAGTTCCTGGGGTTAAGAAGACCCCCCGGAGGAGGAAATGGCAACCCATTCCAGTATCCTTGCCTGGAGAATACCATGGACAGAGGAGACAGGCGGGCTATAGTCCGTGGAGTTGCGATGAGACAGACACAACTGAGCAATGAAGCAGACATGTATCTGTAGGACAGACAGCTGGTGGGGAGCGGCGGGATGGCACAGGGCGCTCAGCTGTGTGCTCTGTGATGACCTAGGGGGTGGGATGGGGAGGTGAGAGGCGGGTTCTAGAGGGTGGGAATATATGTATAGAAAGAGTGCTGGTCTACCTAGTTGTACCGCAGAAACCAATGCAACTCTGTAAAGCAATTATTCTCCAGTTTAAAAAAGGAACAGAAACAGCATAAGTATATTAGTAGTTGTTCAAGAATTTAATAGTAGCAGTAGTGATGTGATAATATATTTTTGGATATGATGAGAGAAGAGTGAACTTATGAACACAGTGGAGAAGGAGCGGGCGGGAAGAATTGAGAGTAGCACTGAAACATACATCACTATGTGTAAAATAGACAGCCAGGTGGAATTTGCTATATGATGCAGGGAGCTCAAGCGCATGCTCTGTGACAACCTAGAGGGCTGGGACAGAGTAGAAGGTGGGAGGGAGGGGCATAGGTATGCCTAGATAGTTATTCATGCTGACCTATGGCATAAACCAACATAATATAAAGCAACTATCCTCCAATTAAAAATAAATAAATTTATTAACTAAAAAATGTATAGCTTGATGAACAAAGCCTATATTAAAAAACAGTAGCAACAACAACAACAGAACAAAACCAGGACTTGATGAAATCTCAGGCAAGCCTGAGAGCAAAGAATTCTATGCGCCATTTCCCAGCATCTGGGGGGACAGGAGAGGAGCAGCCATCAGGGTCACTGTAAGATTAGACAATAAAAAACCATGAAGTTAAATATTTACATTTTGGACGCTCCAGAAAGCAGGCCAGTATTCTCTCAGCAAGCTCTAGCCGCATGCTTAAAGGAACACAGACGCATGCTCTGTGACAACCTAGAGGGCTGGGACAGAGTAGAAGGTGGGAGGGAGGGGCATAGGTATGCCTAGATAGTTATTCATGCTGACCTATGGCATAAACCAACACAATATAAAGCAACTATCCTCCAATTAAAAATAAATAAATTTATTAACTAAAAAATGTGTAGCTTGATGAACAAAGCCTATATTAAAAAACAGTAGCAACAACAACAACAGAACAAAACCAGGACTTGATGAAATCTCAGGCAAGCCTGAGAGCAAAGAATTCTATGCGCCATTTCCCAGCATCTGGGGGGACAGGAGAGGAGCAGCCATCAGGGTCACTGTAAGATTAGACAATAAAAAACCATGAAGTTAAATATTTACATTTTGGACGCTCCAGAAAGCAGGCCAGCATTCTCTCAGCAAGCTCTAGCCGCATGCTTAAAGGAACACAGGGAGTGTTTATATTTCATGCATGTTGGAGGCACCATAAAATGACAGATTGGGGACAGGTCAGAGCAGAAATGTGACAGAGGTAGAGTTAAATGGACTTCTCCAGGTCTCTCTGGGACATCACTTTCTTAAAAGTAAACACCACAACACTAATTGCACCTGATCAAGGTCCCAGCACGTCAAGCCCAGCATTCAGAGATACTGCAAAGTGCTCTGAAGACAACAGGGAACCAGGCTTCAAGGGCGATGGGTGAGGAAGGGCTTCTCTTTGCAGAAAAGTGAGGGACAACCTAGGCAGGCATGTCACTTCCTACTCTGTGCTTCCACTTTTCAGACCAAATTGCACTAAACCACAAGACCATTGTTTGCCCCATGATCGACGTCATTGACCACAATCACTTTGGGTACGAGGCGCAAGCCGGGGATGCCATGCGTGGTGCCTTCGACTGGGAAATGTACTACAAGAGGATCCCCATCCCACCAGAGCTGCAGAGGGCGGACCCCAGTGACCCTTTTGAGTGAGTAGCAGCCTGGGGAGCTGAGGGGGAGGGGGTAGGTGACTGGGGCATGTGTGTGTCAACTGGAGACCCACCAGGACAATTATCTCTAATGAAATGGAATAAAACAGGTGGCAAAAGTATACAAGACATTGGGGAAAGGGCAGACCTACAGGGTAGACAAAATCATAAGGTGGCCAGAGTACATTCTCCAACTTTCTAAGCATGAGAGGACATGTGCAATGTGGAATCAGGAAAAAGAAGAGTTCACAGCAAATGCAAAGAGAAGGGAGGCATAGCCCCTTTCAGACATTCTCTTAGAGCTCCTCTCTTTATTTCAGTTCCCTCTGTTCTTTCCTGTTGTTGTTGTTTAGTCACTAAGTCTTGTCCAGACTCTGTGACCCCAGGGACTGCAGCACACCAGGCTCCTCTGTCCCACATTATCTCCCAGAGTTTGCTCAAACTCATGTCTATCGAGTTGGTGACGCCTTCCAATCATCTCATTCTCTGTTGCCCCCTTCTCCTCCTGCCCTCAATCTTTCCCAGCATCAGGGTCTTTTCCAGGGAGTTGGCTCTTTGCATTGGGTAGCCAAAGTATTGGAGCTTCAGCATCAATCCTTCCAATGAGTACCCAGGGTTGATTTCCTTAGGATTGACTACTTGGATCTTCTTGCAGTTCAAGGAATTCTCAAGAGTCTTCTCCAACACCACAATTTGAAAGCATCAACTCTTCTGTTCATTGTGCTTTTCCCTAAAGCAAAAGTCCCCAATCCCTGGGCCAAGAACAAATACTGGTTCATGACCTGGTAGGAACTGGGTCACACAGCAGGAGGTGAGCAGTGGGCAGGTGAGGGAGGCTTCATCTGTATTTACAGCTGCTCCTCATCGCTAGCATTTTGCCACCTGGGATCACAAATGATGGCAGCCTTAAAACTGTTTGACATCACTTCAGATCACAATACTTTCTGGTTTAAAGTCTAGCTGGAATATTCTAGATTGCCACGAAAGCACCAAAAAGCCTGCTTCCATTTCCAAAATCCTATCTTTGTGAAGCAGGGTTTCTGCAGGGACAGCAACCAAAATGACAATTCGGAGTAGACTGGACATAAGCAATATACTTCATCTCTCACTGTCTCCCGTCACCCCCAGATGGGGCCGTCTAGTTGCAGGAAAACAAGCTCAACGTCCCCCCTGATTCTGCATTATGGTGAGTTGTATAATTATCTCATTATATATCACAACAATAATAGAAATAAAGTGCACAATAAATGTAATGCACTTGAATCATCCCAAAACTATCCTTTTCCAGGTCTATGGAAAAGTTATTTCTCATGAAATGAATCCATGGTTCCAAAAAGCTTGGGGGTCGCTGCCCTAAAGAATTATTTCAATGAACTACTCTACTTTTGTTTACAGTATGAGGGAATGATATAAAATATGCAGATGGTAAAGATCTGCCTGCAATGCAGGAGACTCAGGTTCTATCCCTGGGTCCTGAAGATCCCTTGGAGAAGGAAATGGCAATCCACTCCAGTACTCTTCCCTGGAAAAAAATATCCCATGGACAGACGAGCCTGGTGGGCCATCATCCAGTGTTGGCAGAGTCAGATAAGACCCAGTGACTATCACTTTCACTTTTTTCCATCTCTGCTGGGAACTGCGTCTGTATAAAGGAAGGCTGTGTTTCTGAGCAGCCACTCCCAGAACTTAAACTTGGGGAATTCAATCCAAATGACAGACCCAGAGTAGATCATCTACTGTATATATACATACACATACCATGGAGACATCTTCTTGATCCACTTATCTACTGATGGACACAGGTTGCTTCCATATCTTGGCTACTATACATAATGCTGCTGTGAACATTGGACAACTGGTGTTTGTCTTTGTTTGTTTGTTTTTAGCACATACCCAGGATCGAAACTGCCAGTTCATGTAGTAGATCTATTCTTAGTTTTTTGAGAAACACCCCCCGCCCAGTTCTCTCCAGTGACTGCACCAATTCACGTTCCCACCAACGGTGCGCAAGCAAGTGCCTCCTTTTCCCCACACCTCTGTCAACATTCGTTAACTGTGGTCTTGTTGATTATGGCCACTCTGACAGACATGAAGGGATGTCTCATTGTGGTTTTAACTTGCATTTCCCTGACAATTAGTAATGTTGAGCATCTTTTCATGTGCATGTTGGCCATCTGTATTTCCTCTGTGGAGAAATGTTTATTAGGGTCTTCTGCCCACTTTTTTAAATTAGCTTTTTGGTTTTTTTTATGTTGATTTGTATGATTCTCTAAAACCATATACAAAAATAAAATGCCAAAGTAAAGAACCCATAGAGTCCAGCTTCACAACCAAATACTTAGTAATACCTGAGGCAAGCAATACGATTTATGTGGTAAATCTCACTTATTTGTTATGATCACTTTTCACACTGCTTGCAAGTGCTAATAATAAGAGATGGACATGGCCCATATCAAACAAATAAATAAACTCAAAATGGATTAAAAACCTAAATATAAGACTATAAAACTGTAGACTATAAAATTCCTATAGGAAAACATAGGCAGAACACCCTTTGATATAACTCGCAGCAATATTTTTTTAGATCCATTTCCTAAAGCAAAGGAAATAAAAGCAAAGATAAACAGGTGGGAACTACTTAAACTTAAAAGCTTTTCTGCACAGCAAAAGAAACCATCAACAAAATGACAAGACAACCAACAGAATGGGATAAAATATTTGCAGGTGATACGACCAGTAAGGGGTTAGTATCCAAACTATATAAACAGCTCACACAATTTAACATCAAAAAAATCAATATTATCTTTTCATCAAAACATGGGCTATAAACATTTGCAGTAGAGAAACTCACAAGTGTAAAACTGAGTTCTGTGACACTCAAGCTTTAAATTACAGTAAACATTTGATAAATATCAAGAAAATGGTTCCTCCAATTCTAATAGTCTCCAGAAAGATAAACTCTTGGGAGGACAAGGGGGATATCTGAAGACATTAGCCTGAAAAAAGCTAATTCTATTATAAACAAAAGATTCTATTATATTAAAAAAAAGAGCTATTCTATTGTAATCAAAATGTAATGTCTATGAAGCACACTCATTAAGTACCCAGAATTTCTGAAAGACACCTCTTCAGACTCCTAAATTATTAGACAGTTTTGGAGAAGAAATAATGAAGCCCTTTGTTACTCTTCCAAATACTCCAGCCAATATTTCAAGGATATTGAAAACTACCAGGGAAGTTTTTCAGTAATCCAAGAGAAGGAGTTTCTAGTAGATGATCTTCACAAGTCCGTGAAGGTAAACATCTGAAAGTCTTAGCAATGGGACTTAGGTTGGGTTTCAAAGCCAAATGGGTGTGGGAAGATACCAAAAAAAAAAAAACCTCAAAAAAAAAAAAAAAAAAACCTCTTAACACAGTGGATGCTAAAAGACGCTTGCTCCTTGGAAGGAAAGCTATGACAAACCTAGACTGTATATTAAAAAGCAGAGGCATCATTTTGCCAGCAAAGATCCAAACAGTCAAAGCTATGGTTTTTCCAGTGGTCATGTACAGATGTGAGAGTTGAACCATAAAGAAGGCTGATCCAGGAAGAATTGATGCTTTCAAACTGTGCTGGAGAAGACTCTTGAGAATCCCTTGGACTGCAAAGAGATCAAAAAAGTCAGTCCCAAAAGGAAATCAAACCTGAATATTCATTGGAAGAACTGATGCTAAAGCTGAAGCTCCAATACTTTGGCCATCTGATGCAAAGAACGGACTCATTGGAAAAGACCCTGATGCTGGGAAAGATCAAGGACAGGAGGAGAAAGGGGTGACAGAGGATAAGGTGGTTGGGTAGTTGGGTGGCATCACTGACTCAATGGATATGAGTTTCAACTGACTCTGGGAGATAGTGAAGGACAGGGAAGCCTGGTGTGCTGCAGTTCCATGGGGTCGCAAAGAGTCAGACATGACTTACTGACTGAGCAGCATCAACAACAAACACAGTAGAAGTCTTAGTAGATGGCAACTGATGGTAGACTAGCCATTGTCTAGTTGCTGCCACTCAAGGTTGCTGTATTTCAGGGCAAGGATTCATCCAAGATGACTCTTCCAATAGATACTGTAATCATGGTTGGGTTATAATGTATTTCATTAATACTTTACTTCCACTTTAATAGCAAATGGGGCCCCTGCTTTCTGCAGGCATGGGATCAAGATACTACCAAAGTAATTTCAACTCGTGAAAATTCTAAAATTATCCTCAGTCCTTGCACTGACAGTTAAAATTTTGTCAGGCAGACCCCAGCTGTGGCCATCACAGTATCAGGACTGTTGCTTAACCCCAGAGCTGGCAGCGTTGCTAACTTTTGGAATTAAATAACTCTCGATCCTGTCACCTACTTAGATGGTTGCCATCCTGTCAAAAACGGGATCCTGTCAAATGTAAGCCTGCCTTTCTGCTTGAAGTCCCTTTGATTCCTGGGAAGGCGGGCACTTCAGCCTTTTGCAATAAACGTAGCTTCTAGGAAGTGTCCACTTTGATCTTGGAAACTGCATTTGCCTTCCTGATAATAAGTAAATGCTTAGTTATCCATGCAGCTCTGAGCAGTGTGTCTGCAATCCCATTATCTTGGCGGCCAAGTGAATGTATGAATACACAGATGCGCTTTCGGCAAACACTCACTTCTCTAGATGTGAAAGCTTCAAGACACAGAAGAAACATGGTCTATCTACACATCTCTCAAGTCTTTCATGTTTTCAGCTGGTTACTGTGAGGATTTACTGGGGATGGGGTGGGGGGAAACAGGCAGAAAAGTCAGGAAGAAAGGAACTGAAGAGTAAGATGGAAATGCATTTCAAATTCCAAAACCTTTCTGATAATATATATGCAAAGCTTATCTTCTGCACAAGTGCATCGAATGTCCTAAATGACAAGATCTGAATTCTCTCATTGATTCTACCATTATTGGAGTCTTCTCCAACTAGCGATTACAGTGGTATTTTTCAACCTATAAATC